AAACTTTTGCAAGAACTTTCACCATAACATATGTTATGTTGATCATTTTTTTGTGATCTGCAACAGTGTCCACTATGTTATTATTATTATATTCAGCCTTTCCCTCTGTACTATATACAACAAATAACAAACGGAAAATTTTTTGCCATATGTATTACAAAAATGGCGTTTTCTTTGAAAATTGTTTTATAAAAAATTTGGTTATTTCAACGCAACCGAAATAAACTAAGTTTTGAGACGGAATATTAATTACAACAACAGTAATAGCCTAAAAGATGCTGTTAAATTTTTCCAATACTTCTTCTCACACTGATAATTTATGGCGTAATTAGTGGATAATAATAACAATGCTGCACTACATAACCGAATTTTTATCACTCACTATTACTATACTATCACTTTGTGCAAAATTATTTTCCGCTTTTTCAGCAATTTCTAATTACATAGTAGTAGCAGTAGTAATTCAATCAATGGTAAAAGGCGGGCATTTAATTCGCACTTTGTAATAATAATATAAAAAGTGTATTAAAAAATAGAGTGGTAAATAATATTCGCCGGCCTCAAATTTATTAACAATTAATAATTTATTAATCGGATACAAGTTTATTTGTTTTTTATAAACACAAAAAAAATTGTCACTATTTAATAAAAATGCAAATAATGATCGAATTTTTTTCAATCGGAAGCTGATACTAACATCAATACATATAATTTATTGCATTTCTTTTGATCTTTATAAAATCATAATAACATTAATGGTGGTAAAATAACTATTAAAATTTTTACATGGCTTTAATACACGCAATGCATCTTATATTAAAAAACATGGCAAAGTGAACGACCTAGTAAAAATTGATCAAAAAAAAAAAACTTTGCATTTAGGAATTATTTTAAAAAAAAAATATTCCGTGATTTTATTTTCCGTGTTTTATCACTATTACTAGACTATTATAAATATGACCATCAATTCTCAGACCAGTTAAAAGTTTTTTGACTCTCTTTTGAAATACGAAAAATAATAACGACAATAACAAAACACTACTGATTTTTCTGGTAAATTTTAAACATTCATGAATTAAAAAAATAAAATATCGTTTGTTAATCATACAATTCAATACTTTAGGAACTGTAAATCATTGCAATATGAGCAATTTAACTAGAATAATCCAACAACATCCACCAGTAACGGCTCAGCAGCAATATAATATGCCGAAAATAATTGCCGGGGCAAGTAACGCTGTTGCAGCAGATGAAGGTCTAAAAACTGAATATTTGCCATTGTTAGATAATTCATCTAGTCACAGCAACAGAAATTATGGAAATATGTCAACATCAGAAGTAGAAGATATTTTCATACCGATTGAAGACAATCGCCGGTTTCCAAGATCAGGGAAAAATGCTTGTTGTCCATATTTGTTTTGTAGTGTGTTATCATCAAGTATAAAAGAGCTTAAAAACACTATTATAAATCCATGGCTATATTATTATAGTGGCATATTTTTCCTGTTAAATATAATCCACGGAATATCTTTCGGTAATAATAATAGTGATACATATTAATATTGAGTTTGCTCAATCAGAGTACGTTTAATAATTGAAGTTTTTTAAAAACAAATTAGGGATAGCAATATTTCCTCATACGCACCATCACCATAACTACGAGGATGAATTTGGAAGATATAAATATATTGGCATGGCGATGTGTTTTATCAGGTAAGTTATATGTTCACTTTTGATTTATTTATTTATTTAATCAGCTAATGGATCCACGTCTTTATCGATAAAGTTGTATTATTTCAAAAGTCATAAGTTCGATTGGCGGAAAATTCCAAGGTGGAAGTAGTAGAATGTTCATATTATGCAAGTATTATTTTTTTTAATCAAAGGCCAAAATTATTTATAATTTCATAATTTAATAAATAATCTTTTTTTAAATAGTAATACCATTTTTGCATTTGATGTAAGTAAATTTTTCAACAACAATTTTTCTGTTTTAAAGGAAGAAAATAAATAAAACCTAATAATTTTTCTCTTTATTTAATTTCTTTATTTTCTTTATCTTCTCTGACTAAAAAGAGAGGAAATGATTAAAGATCATTTTGATTTTTATGAGGAACTGACGGGACCATACAAAATTAAAAAGGTGGTTTACACAACAATAACTGCTTATATGCTAAGTACCATATTAACTGGTATTGGACTTTTATTATTTACAATATTCAAAGTATGTATATAACACATTTTGTTTGTATAT